CTCTCCAGAATATTTTCACGACAATATTCGGCATTGATTCTGATGCCACTGTAGATCAATACGGGCAGAGAACGACCATCGGCTGTTATGGCGGCCCACACCATCACCATGGCCGACACTTGAGTTCTGGTGGCCAACCGAAGGTGCATATTTTCTGCTGACCCCTTTGACAAGTAAACACGATCATTTTGTTTGTTTACAAACTGCTGGACAAAGAATGTTTTCTCATCGGAGAAAACCAAATTCGGCAGTTCACCACGTTTGGCCAAGCGAAGAAACTTTTTAGCTCTTTTGAGTCTATTTCCTTTCTGTTGCTGTATAAGTTCTTGCACTTTTTGGAATTTCAATGGCTCATTTTTCAATATTTGCCGAATGGAATATTGCGATATGTTCAGCTCACGAGCCATTTTTCAGCCACTGCTACGAGGGTTTCGATCAAGTCGCTTCTTTACTTTTCGAACCATTTCTGCAGATGTTGCTGTTTTTTCCGTCCACTTCCTACACGTCGGCTACGCTACCAGTATCACCGTAAAGAGCGATGGTGCGAGACACAAAATATTTATTCACATTTAAATGGTGGAGTGCTCTAAAGATAGCCACTTGGGGTTTTCCAACCAAATATAAAGAAATCACACTATCACGCTTGAATTCCATCACGAATAACTTTTTTTCTGGAAAATTCTCACCAAAATGCTTTTGTACGCTTGTAAACAATATAATGTGCTGTCACTGGAATAATTTTAACAGCAGTGGCATAGAGATGACAGCAGTCTGAAGTTGGTTGTAGTTTTTTCATTTCACCCTTATTTCAGGTAACATACTCTCGTAGGTTGGTTTGTAATTAGTTAAGACTGCCTGAAATTTCTTAGAGAAATTTGGTAATGTGAGTTTTTGCTGGGTAAAAGTATTTTGTTTTTCCTTATATGAGGCTTACTGATAATTCAAATGGTATATAGATACATTTTTTTTCACACATGCGCCTAACAAATAAGACTTAAAGGATCCCAAAAGTTCTATAAAATTTAAATTTCGAATCCGACATTCCTAATCACTAACTTGTCATAACATTGGAAAAAAGAAAAATCTAAGCTTAAGCTAGGCAAACAAATTCATTGTCACTTACGAAAGCTTTATCGACAACTAAAAAAATATGTGAAATTACAACAGCCAAAAATGTCAAGGCGAAGGGGTATCAGCTAGGCTTTTAATGTTTGATTTTTTACAGATTCACTAAATTTTTTATTTGTTTACAGAAATCAAAAAAGTCACTAAAATCCATGTTTGTTGTAATCCCTCTACACAAATTAGTTCAATATTAAAAAGAGATTTATTTCAATAAAATTTCCTTCAAATTCTACTTCAATTTATTACCAGGCACGCGGTCAATGGGTCAGCCTATCAATTGAAAAGAAATAGCATTTAAATGCATTTTCTTCAATTCAATTCAATTTGTGTCGTTTTTGTTCAATTTCGCTCTAACATATGTAGACAGTTTTGTGCCGTCTGCGATGCATAAATGAAATATTTTATGAGCATTGAAGCGTAAGATATTCAAAATGATTTAAAAATAAATAACAATGCAGGTTGTCATATTTCTAGAGATTTACTAGATAAAAATAATCTGTCAATATTGATCAATAGAATAAGATTTTTTATTTTTTTTTTTTTCGAGTCGAGTCGAGCTTAATGATGTGTATTTAATTTTGAAGAATAATTATTTGTTACGGCATTAAGCTGAGCGTTTTTTATAGCCTACACCACATACAGGGTGAAATGAAAAAAAACTGCAACCAACTCCAGACTTCTGTAATTTCTAAGCCACTCGTCCGACAGCTGTTAAAATTATTCCAGTGACAGCTCATTACATTGTGAACAAGCGTACAAAACCATTTCGGCGAGAATTTCCAGAAAAAAAGTTATTCGTGATGGAATTCGAGCGTGATAGTGTGATTTCTTTATATTTGACTGGAAAAACAAGTGCCTATCGTTAGAGCACTCCAGCATTTAAATGTGAATAAATCTTTTGTGTCTCGTACCATCGCTCGTTACAGTGATACTAATAGCGTAGCCCGACGTTAAGGAAGTGGACGGAAGAAAACAGCAACATCAGCAGAAATGGTTCGAAAAGTAAAGAAGCGACTTGATCGAAACCCGCGTCGCAGTGGCCGAAAAATAGCTCGTAAGCTGAACATATCGCAATATGCCATTCGGCAAATATTGAAAAATGAGCTCGGGGTAAAGCCATTTAAATTCCAAAAAGTGCAACAACTTACACCGCAAAAGAATGAAAATAGACTCAAAACAGCTAAAGAGTTGCTTCGCTTGGCCGATAGTGGTGAACTGCCGAATCACAAAATGATCGTGTTTACTTGCCAAAGAGGTCAGCTGAAAATTTGCACCTTCGGTTGGCCACCAGAACTCAAGCGCCGGACATGGTGGTCTCCGCTCGTATTAATCGACCGTGGCATCAGAGGAAATGCCGAATATTATCGCGAAAATATTCTGGAGGGTGTATTAAAGCCTTTGGCACTCAAACATGTTGGCCGCAGGCGGTGGACATTCCAACAGGACTCAGCAACATCGCACTCAGCACGCGCCACCCAAGAATGTTTACAAAATGAGGTTCCTCTCTTTATTTCCAGCTCACAATGGCCACCAAAATCTCCAGATACCAATCTGGAGTATTTTGGAAAGCAAGTTTGGCACCACAAAAATACCAAAGTGTCGATCACCTCAAGCAAGCGCTTCGCCGGTAATGGGCCAAAATACCGCAGAGCAACATGCGGGCAGCGTGTAATGGTTTCATTGGCCGTGTAAAGGCCATAATTCGCGCCAAAGGTGACCAATTCGAACAAATCTAAACTTTTTCTAAAATTTAATGCTATTTCCGACATCTTTTGCTTTCATTCAATAAAATTTAAAAAAAGTAAAAATTTTGGCGTTTGACTTTGTTGCAGATTTTTTTTTTATTTTGTTTAAATATTAGGTTTATTCTGCACCAAATGGCTTATATCAGCCCAAATGAACAGAATTTTGGCAATTCCGACAGAATTCATGCTAGAAATAAGAACTTCAAACTTGGAAATAAAAATCGGTTCAGACATAGCTATATCTCCCATATAGGTTTCATCCGATTTAGTGTTAAAGTCCCTCACCAGTGTAATATGGTACCAGATATTTTATAAAGCTCTGAAACACATTTGCCAAATTTTATCGAGATCGGCTTAGATTTGAATATAGCTCCCATATATGTTCCTATTCCGATTTCAGGTTTACTGTTTTTGTTTTAAATGAAGTGGATTTCGGGACGTACGTTTCCATTTGGTGGAACTCGGCTCCGATTTGTATTTTTTGATGTAATCCCCCTCGAAGTCATATCATGCACTCTATAGCAATGTTATTTGGTATAAAAGATAAAAATGTGGAAATCGATTCAGAATTAAATATACCTTCCACGTATTAATTCCCTCTGAAAAAAATTATGTCTGATCTAAAGTCAAAGGTTTATAGGTGCTATGATCTACTTCAAATAAATTCCCAATGTAAACTTTTTTGTTGCGTGAGCTCTACTAAATATGCATAGTGGTGTAGGGTATCATATAGTCGGCCCCGCCCGACTTTTGATTATTCCTTACTGGTTTTTTATTATTTTTCTTTCGAGTCGAACTTGAATTTGAAAAAATATTTTTTATTACGCCATTAAGCTATGGGGTTTGTTTTATATTTTTAAAAATTATACTTTATTTATAAATCCATAAAAAATCTACTATAAAATAATTTGTCCACATTTATTGGTGGTTTCAAAATAGTTTCGTTTTCACAACAACATATGGAGATGATCTAGAAATACATTTTTTTTAATTTTTATAGTTTTTATTCTCAACTGCAAGTCTATTTAAAATTAACCGAGACCCGACGATTATTTCAAGTTCAGGGATAAGACAACAAAGTGATCAACAGCTGAAAATACACATTTTATTTTTAAATACCTACTCACGGTATTCGGTTTAAAGGCCTGGCTGGTGGACTTTCTCCCTCCATTTGGAAGTCTGCTGCACTTGGAGACAGTTTTCACATGAAATCGTAAGATTTCCAAAGAAACTAATTTGTCTTTGCCTGAATTATATTAAAAACCAACCAGACAACAACATCCAACATACTCACACACTTACACATTTGTTTGAAGATGGAATGAGGGCCAGTGGCAACAAACAAATCTGGTGTGTCTCTTCTAAAATGTTTAGATCAGTGTGTCGTCTTCCAGAGTTTATTGCCCTCAATTTGTTGTGGTTGTCGCTGCTGTTTCAAATTTTGTGGCGCTCCCTGGCATCTTCAATTCATTTGTTAATTTGAATGAATTTCCTTTTTTTGTATTCTTATAATTTTTTTCTTCATATCTGAAGTTATGCATTCATTATTCTCGTGCATATTTTTAATTGAATATCGGAATATAGAGAGAAGGGGGGAAGGGAGGAGAGGGGAAAGGAAATCTAAGTTATTTTCCTGCAGCGGCTTTATTGCCAATAAATTGACATTAATTGAGTTCAATGCACAGCTTTCATAATAAATTGGATGAGTCGTGCTGGTGCGGCAGCAGCATCAAAAGCTTTGATTCAATCATTGAAAGCAATGGATTTTTTCTTCTTCCGTCGACTTTGAAGATTCATTTTTATTTTCAGGAATTTGTTATAATTTGTCCATTTTTTTGATTCCATATGCATTAATTAAGAGCTGCATTAATTGGGAGATGAAATAATATTAAATTTAATGGTGAGATTTTTATTCGAATTTTGACAAAATTACAATATGGAATTGGAAGCTTTTCATATTCTAACACCAAAATTGAATTTTTTTCAGACATTTGAAAATCCTTTGAAAATAAATAATATTTTTATTAATTTCATATTTCTCCCACATTTCTTTGTATATGTTTTGTGTATTTTTGACTAATTTTTTTTTTACTAATTTTTCTCATCTTTTTCTTTTCTTTTTCATTCCAGCTGATATGAATTCTCGCCAATTAACCAGATTTCTCAACATTTCCAGAAAAAACAAGTGATTCTTGAATTTCTATCTCACCTCTCAGCACCATCTACCCACCGGAATATTTTCATCATTTCTATTCTCTTCGCTGAAGCTGTCAAACTGCCGCTGCCATGTATAAGTTATTGGTCGGCCTAAAGAGTTATCTCAAATGGCAGGATATACAAACGGATAATACAATATTTCGTTTGCATAATTCCTTTACCACAGTCCTGCTGTTGACATGCAGTCTAATTATTACGGCCACCCAATATGTCGGTCAGCCGATCAGTTGTATTGTCAATGGCATACCGACACATGTTGTCAACACATTCTGTTGGATTCATAGTACATTTACAATGCCGGATGCATTTCGAAGACAGGTATGTAGAATAAAATTAATTATTTTATTTTAAATGATTTAATGCTTCTTTAAAAAAAAAATCTGATCATAAAAATTGAGAATATTTCCATGCAAAAGAGATTGGCTCAAGAACAATTTTTTATAGAAAAAGTCTAGGCTAGGAATATTTATTTTCTATAAAAAACCTGGTAGCGGCGATTTTGAAACAAAATGAAAAATATCTCCTTGAAAAAGCGCCACTTTTCCTAAGACTTGTTTTTTTTTTTTTTTGCAGAAAAAATTCCTTTATTCCCGAGCTGCGACTTTTTCTGTGGGAAAAATATTACTGAGCCGTAATTCGGCGATATCGGCGATTTTTTTTGATTCTATAAAAGAACATTTCTAATCTCTTGAGGCATGATTAATTTCTATAGAGGAAATCCTTAATACCCTGAGCCGTGATTTTTTTTTTCATGGAAAAATTACTGTTCCTGATGCCAAATTGTTTCTTTAAAAACATGCCTCTTTACCTCGGGCCGATTTTTTTTTTATAAAAAAATTTCTCAGTTCCTGATCTGCTATTTTTTCTACAGAAAAAAAGTGGCTCTGTTCCTGATCCGCGATTTTTTCTACAGAAAAAAGGGTCTCTGTTCCTGATCCGCGATTTTTTCTACAGAAAAAAGTGTCTCAGTTCCTGATCCCCATTTTTTTCTACAGAAAAAAAGTGTCTCAGTTCCTGATGCGCGATTTTTTTCTACAGAAAAAAAAATGTCTTAGTTCCTAAGCCGCGATTTATTTCTGTAGAAAAAAACTCCTATGTTCGTGAGCCGCAATTTGTATACCCTCAGCCATATAGCTAGAGAGGGTATATATCATTTAAATAGGTCAAAACATACCTCATCGAAATAACGGTCTCTTCGGACCAATTCCGTCCGTCTGCCTGGCTGGGGCGCACGATAACTCACGAAGGGAGTATCCGATTTGATCCAAACTTGGTACATCGTAATATTATTATCAAACTTAGGTCGAATTCGGAGATGGGCAATATCGGTCCACTCCTTCTGGTACATCCACCACAAAAAGCCGAAATTTTCAAAAAAAAAAAAAATGCTGCATGGAAAGAGAGAGGATAATCAAATTGATCTTCAACTTTTCAAATCCTAATATTTGCATTAGTGCTAAGTCAGGAGCGGAAATGGACAATATCGGTCCACTCCATGTAGTACCTCCCCCACAAAGGGTCAAAATTTTGAATAATTATGTCTTCAAATTACACAGTACTTTTATGAACTTAAGGTCTGGTGTGAAGATAGAATATATTGGTCCACTCCTCCTGGTACCACCCCCACACAGGGTCAACATTTCGAATATCCATGAATCTCATAAAACGCGAAATTAAAATCCGATTTCATTCAGACTTGGACATACAAACAATTTTGTTAACACGATATCTGCTGTAAAAAAAATACTTCAGCTCCTGAGTCCCAATTTATTGCTGTATGAAAGACCTTGAGATTCAGAGTCCTAATTTTTTGTTATAAAGAAAAAGGTTCCGATTGCTGATCTTTGAGTTTTTCTTTAAAAAAAGATTGTCATGAACTTAAACCATTTTTTTTCGAATTGATGTTTTTTTAAGAAATTCCAGTACATGGCCATTGAAAGTAAAAAAGACCGACCATCATTTGAATATTTTTTCAAATTTCTTGGCATCAAATTTCTTAGTTCCAAAAAATTTCAACCACAAAATTAAAAAAAAATAACCTAACATCGCACAATTTAAAGTAGAAGTAGTTCAAGAGGAAATACCATTGAACTACAACAATCCCCCCATCCAACAAACATATCCTATTACCAATTCTTGGAAAATTTTCAATCGACTGTGGAAGCCACCACACATAACCAGATGACAAGATGAAGGGCCAGCTAAACGATTGTTTAGGCTTGCTTGCACACATCAAAAAGGGAAATGTTTAAAAAAAAGTTTAGACCACAGAGAGAAAGACAACAGCAACCGTAAACCGCAAACATCCTTCACAGAGATGCTCAAATTGCTAGCTATGTTTGATGGATATTTTTGCTGTTGTTTTTGTTTTATATCATTTGAAATATAATTAAAACCCGATACCGCCTTATTTTGCTTATATCAAAACCAATGGAGGCCAAGAACGGAAGAGAGAGGCTGAAAAACATGGGGCGTAACAAAGTTGTCTGCGCATAAATTAAAGTTCAGTTTGCCACAAGGCTATGGCCATGGCTGGCTGCCGATTCCTTTGGAATTCCCTGCGCAGCATAGTTTCCAGGAGTTTCGTACCCATATGTGGTGGAGCTCTTATACCACTCTTACCGTTGTGTGGTTTTCTTCTGTTTGTCTTTTGCATTGTTTTTTTTTTTTTCTTGAGGATGTTTAATAATTCATGAAATGCACTTCTTGTGTTCGGCGTATTTGCACGCCATTCGCCATACTTAAATAATCGCTGCAATAAATGTGAACATGGAGTCCGGCAGGCGTACCACATGGACTCTGTTTGGGCCTCAATGTCGTCACCGTCACGTCACAAAACTTAAAGTTCAACGGAAGTTTTAATTGCATTGCGATCAAGCCCTTTAGAGTCGCTCGTTCATGCGGGTGGGGAAACTTTTTTGGAAGACACAAAAAAAAAATAATGGGATTCCATTCTTCTTCATTTTTTGCTCGGGAATTCGTCAGTCCTTTCTTTGTTTTTATTCATGGCATGACATATGTGTCTTTCAATTGCAGATGTTTTTTTTTCCTTTGATGATCATCTTCATAAAAGGAACAAAACATAAGACAATTGTTTGAAAGGAAACAATTGAATTCGAAGTAATGGCAAATGGTGGAGAAGAGCAAAATGAAAAATAAACGAAAAACTGACAAAAATATCACCTCCCTCAGAGACAGAAAATTTTCTGTTTTGGATTTTTTCACGAAGTCTATACGTCTCAGTCTCGGAGCCCAGATTTTTATAGAAAAAAATAGCTCAGCAACTGAGCTCAGATTTCTATAGAAAAAAGCTCACCAAAAAACGAGGCTCAGTTGTTGGTGAGCCATTTTTTCTATGGAAAAACCGGAGCACAGCAGATGAGCCATTTTTTCTATAGAAAAAACGAAGCTCAGTAGATGAGCCATTTTTCTATAGCAAAAACGAAGCTCAGCAGATGAGCCATTTTTTCTATAGAAAAAACGAAGCTCAGTAGATGAGCCATTTTTTCTATAGAAAAAACGAAGCTCAGTAGATGAGCCATTTTTTCTATAGAAAAAACGAAGCTCAGTAGATGGGCCATTTTTTCTATAGAAAAAAAGCTCAGCCACTGAACTGAAAAAAATGAATAAACGAGCTCAATTTTATCTGTAGAAAAAATGGAACTCATAAACTAATCCCAGGGTAATGCTCAGCCACAGATCCAAGAATTTTTCCTGTAGATAAAAATGGATCAGCCACAGAGTCCAGATGTCACCAAAATACCAAATATTCGGAGGTACCACTTTATGAGTGACTAGTAAGTGCCCGCTACTTAGTATGCGAAAGGTCCACATTAAAATTTTAGATTCATATAGTTCGTGTTAAGCCTTTTTATTACTTATAGGACAACATTTGTTAATTAAAACTGAATTCTCAGACTTTCAATGTTTTATATATTATTAAAATTTTCCCTTTTTCAAAAAGAAAAATAGGAAAATTTTTACCTTTGGCATTGAAAAATCTTAAAATTCTTTAATTTTGAACTTTACCGAGGATATTAATACAACCATTGCACAATGGACCCATATCGAATTTTTCTGTCCAAAAATATTTCAACATCTCCATATCAGGATTCCAGCCGTATCCTTTCACCCAATCAATTTCAAATATGTAACATTTAGTACGCATATCCCAAAAAATTTACATTTTTCCATCCTAGACACCAACAATGGTTGAAAATTAGTACCATTTAATACTTTTCGAACAGTCGTAGCACACAATTGCAAAACTACCACTAGATACCAACAGAGACCTCAATATCAAATTTCAGGATTCCAGCTCTATACATTCTCTCAATACAAAATTTAATAACATTGAGTACTTTTCGTATAATATTAGTACACATTGCCAAATTCACCTCCATATCTAAATTCAAGATATTTCAACAGAGACCTCAATTTCAAATGTAAGGGGTTTCAGCCATATCCCTTCACCCAGTACCAAATATAGTACTAAATGGTACTATATTTGGTACTGGTACTTTTCGTACAAATATAGGACGCATTTTCAAACCACCGCTAAATCTCAAACACAGATACCATCAATAGTCTAAATATTCAGAATATTATCTCTATCAAATTTAGTACCATTCAGCACTTTTCGTACAAATGTAGTACACATATCCGAAACAACCTCCATATGTACCGGCTACACATGAACAGTGACTCTAATACGAAATTTCAGATTTCAAGCACTATCTGTTTACCCAATACCAAATAGTACCAAATTTAGTACTGCGCCTTATCAATGACTCTCGTTCCAAATTTCAGAATTCTAGCTCATTCCGTTTGTCCAAAGTATTAAATTAGTACATTTTATAACATTTAATACTTTTGGAAATTCGAACTAAAAAGGTACGAAACCTTTTAGTACGGATTTCCAAAAAAACACATGCTTACGCACCAAGAGTGACCCTCGTGCTAAATGTCAAGATTCCAACTTCAGTCGTTTCGTCTATGTGTTGATCCTCAGACTGTCCGTTATTTCACTACTCATTTATATATACCTATTGCCAAACACTATATAACTGAAATGAAAGGATTTGGACTTAGGTTCATACCCGGATTCCAAAATGTCAAACTGTAGCCCACATTCAAATCGGTGGTATTGTTATATCAAGGCTTGTCGGACAACTTAACTCATACCAGTAATTTTTTGAATAGCTATGCAACATAGGTCATGTACATGACCTCCATCCGGGAAAACATTCTTAAACTTAAGATTGGTTTGGCTGTCATAGAATTTCAAATAAATATAAATATTTAGAACTTCAACACCATACAAATTTGTTAATGTCTCTGATTTACTTAAAATCCCTAAAATCCTAAAATTTATACCAAATTCAGATCAAGTTTGAAAATACACTTTACAGGTCCGTTTCCTAAAGTATTCTCTGGCAAACCACAAAAATTTTAAAAGTTCATATAACACAAATTGAGTCTTCGATTTTGAAAACAAAGTGGTTCAAATCTCAAGACCGACACATGCATAAAAATTCATTTCATAAAATTTAATTATAACAATCATATTAATCTTGTCTTCTTTTCTCTATTTTAGGTTGGTCGCGAAGTGGCACATCCCGGTATTGCCAATGATTTCGATGAGGAGGATGCCAAGAAATATTACACCTACTATCAGTGGGTCTGTTTTGTGCTCTTCTTCCAGGTAAGTTCCATAGAATACAAAACAAAAAAACGAGTGTGAGAAATATATTTCCAATGATCAAATATGGAAAATTAAACTCAGTGGAGGAAACAATCTCCTTAATTACGTATATACCATATGTACCAACCAACTAATCTGCAATTATGGCTTGGCTAAATTATAGCCTACTGTCCGTTAGTGGTCTAAAACAATGTTTACACGATCTCTCTCATGTTGTTGCAATAACACGATGTTGACGTGTATTCCGTTTTTTTTGAGTTGTGCGAACAATCATCGTTATTATGTGTGATCGGCTTTAAAAGGTAGCCGTGTTTGTTTTGTTTTATGACCAAAAACAAAAACGTTTTTTTTTTTTCTGGTAAACATTGCTAAAAAACAAATAATTAAACATTAATTCAAAGACGAGACACCAGACACGACTGGCTGGCTGCCTCCCTGACTGGCATAGAGACAGACAAGCAGTTGACCACATTAATAGATTTTTTTCACACGCTCGCAATTTATTTGCTTTAAATTATTTAAACAATTTATTTTATTGAATTTGAATACGGAATTCAATTGACAAGAGGGAAAAACGTGCTGCGCTTTTTTATTGTTGGTGTCCAATTTTAGCATTTATTTGTTCAGTTGTCAGGCAGTATGTTTGATGTAGAGATTTTTTGGAAGAAATTTCATGAGTTCGTTGAATGGGAAGAGCTTGAATACACTAGAGTATTTGTTTTGACTCAGAATCGGGGTGTCACATTTTATTCGGAAATACCTCTAATAAAACTTTCTTATTTATTTGAATAAGGGCAATCTCCGAACATTTTTCAAATTCCTGAAAATAATACCTTAGTAAATGGCTCCTAGAATTTATTTTTAAATTCAAACAAAATGCAAGGTGAGATAAAAAAAAAACTGCAAAAAAGTCAAACGCCATAATGTTAACATTTTTTTTTTTTAATTTTATTGAATGAAACGTGTCGGAAATAGCATAAAATTTTAGGATAAGTTTAAATTTGTTCTAATTGGCCACCTTTGGCACGAATTATGGCCTTCAAACGGCCAATGAAACCGTCACACGCTGCCCGAATGTTGCTCTGCGGTATTTTGGCCCATTCCCGGCGAAGCGCTTGCTTGAGGTGATCGACACTCTGGTATTTTTTAGTGCCAACCTTGCTTTCCAAAATACTCCGGACACAACAGTCCAACGGATTGGTATCCGGAGATTTTAGTGGCTATTGTGCGCTGGAAATGAAGCGAGGAGCCTCATTTTATAACCATTCTTGGGTGGCGCGTGCTGAGTGCGATGGTGTTGAGTCCTGTTGGAATGTCCAAGGTCTGCTGCCAAAATGTTTGCGTGCCCAAGTCTTTAATACACCCTTCAGAATATTTTCGCGATAATATTCGGCATAGTATTTGTAGGTCATAACGGGTTCCAGATCGTGTGGCGAAACATTGCATGTATAGGACGCTCTGGTATAGCCCCTACCTCCCGATATTCGGTATTTTGATTATTTTTGCCACATTTTTTCACGGATTTGTCTAAAAATTGATATTTGTTTGTTATAATGGGTTCCAGCTGCGGTGGCGAAACATTGCACGTATGGGCCCACGATTTGGTTCAGCCCCCATATAACGGTACCTCCCGATATTCGGCATTTTAATGGTTTTTGCAAAATTTCTTCGTGAATTTGTCGATAAATTGGTATTTGTTGGTCTTAATGGGTTCTAGCTCTTTTGGCGAAATACTGTATATATAGGTCCACATTTTGTATAGCCCCATATAGCCGTATTTCCCGATATTCGGTATTTTGATGATTTTCGGCACATTTTCTCATGAATATGTCTAAAAATTGGTATAAATGGGCTCTATTGTTTCTTTTACGCTAAGGTATCAAAAGTTTGCCCCGGCCGAACTTAATGTTTTTTTACTTGTTTTTTATCTCATCCTGTATATCTACGACCGATTAAAATTGTTACAAACATTAACGTTTATTTTTTAGCGATAGCTCTACTAAATATGCATAGTGGTGTAGGGTATCATATCGTTTCGCCCAATTTCTGACCCTCATTTACCTTTTTCATTATTTGGAAATTGGAAACTTTTACCTTTTTCGATTTTTTTTAGATACTATGCTTCATACTTTTATGTAAATTCAGCCAATTTCATTTATTAAATTATCATCACTTAAAAAGTTTTTGCAATAATCTACTAAACAAGATCATCAACTCAAACTTTAAACGCCCACATTTTGAATATTGAGATAAAGGTACACACTGACACTCTGTCTCTAATCAATTTAAAGAAATTGAGTGCCTTGATTGACAGAGAGAAAACTAAGCTTGAAATCCACAAAACAAATTGATTATAACAAATGGTTACAGTTCAGATAATTTTACGCACACTCATATATACAAATTATTTGTATATGTGTGTGATATATATACATACTTTGAAATATATATCCATATGTATATATACATGGCCGGGCAACAAAAAATTACATTTAAACCTTAATTAAAGTCAATTGAAGTGGAATTGAAACTATTTTGAAACTCATCATCGTCATCATCCAGACACAGACAGATCTGCTTGTCTGTCTGTCTGCCAGTAGCAGCCACAATAAAAAAGATCTCTCGTTAAAATGAGAAACCACACCACGCATGGAGACGAAAAAAATCTTGTATGGATTTAAGCAACATAAAGATGCTACAGATAGCTGATGCTGGTGGTGATGATGATGACGTTGATTCTTTTACTGGAAAGATCTCTTTTGTTACTTGTCTTCAGAAAAAATAAATTACTTTTTTTAAAGTGTCCACAAAAAAAGCGAAGTGTGTCGATAGCCATGAAAAGGGGGGAAAGTTAGACAAAAATCAAACCAGTTTTTTGTGTTTTTTATTGAATGTTATAGTTTTACTGGACTAAACATGAAATGAAACAATTGAATGTCTTGGAGAAGGAAAGTAAACTTTAATAACACTGAATGACGGATTATTCATTATTTGGAGGTGTGATGCTATGGGAGGATCAAAGGTTGCTAATAAGATTTAAAGATTTTAAAATGGTTTTTCATTTTAAAAATCTATTCGAAGAAAAGTACAGTCGTACCAGGATTGGATTTCGTGATTTTGTAATTAAAACCCAAATCAAAATTTTCCTACTCCCCATCATGAGAAGGGAGGGTATCTCACTATTTTAGTCACGCCATCTTGCTTTCTTCATTATCTACTTATCTCCTTATGGCTTTTCAACAGTAAAACCCCAAAAACCCCCAAGAGCTATCAATCATCATTTGATCAAAGATCTTTTCGTAAACAAGTTCAGCTTTTTTAACGAGGCAATAGCCCAGAGAAAGGTGACACGTTTTTCAAAAGTAAAAAAAACAACAAGCACAACAAAATACAAACCTCCCAAACAAAGTACGCAAACAGAACACATAGTAAAAATAGTTTTTTTTTTGTTATCAATTCTAATTTTCGTCGCTTTGCATTTTTGGAGCGTAGTGCTAGCATCAATTGAATTTGATATGAAAATTGTAATGTTTTCGTTTTCGTTTTCGTTTTTTTTTTTTTTTTTTTTTTTTTGTATTCGTGTCTGCGTTTTTTGTTTTGTATTGTTTTGTTTTTTGATGATAACTGTTAAAGAAACCGCTGACATTCAAACGTGATTGGAATTTATGATGATTTATGCGAAACTGAGTAATAAAATAATTTCATTATCCAACAGTGAGTGAGTTTTTTAGTTGCTCTACGTGCTCAAAACGAAATTGTCGTATTTTCTCCAATTTTCGAGATGTGGGGAACTTAATTTAATGAATATTTCAAGACACGTGTTTTCAGCTGAAACTATCATTTGTAATCAAACATAATTTGAACATGAAGCCCAGGCGTGTAAAGAAAGACGTTCAGTGAGATCAATGACCATATTTTTAAACGGGTACGGTATGGAGGGTCCAATAAAAGAAGATATTTTCATGAGGGCCGTGAGGGAGTCTGATCATAATCAAATCAATTATGGGATATCAGGAAGGATATTTCACTAGGTGGGAAAAATGTTATTAGTTCTCCAGTTACGGACAAGACAAAATTAATTTTTTTGACAGATTATTGTAGTTCAATGTTATAATAATGTGTAATTTTATAAAGTCCGATCTGGATATATTATTTAAAGGTTGACATTTTAAGAGATATAGGAAAGTTAAACAAGTAAAAAACAGCTGAGTTCGACCAGGCCGAACTTTTAATACCCTCTTCAGTTTGTAAGGATTTTCAGGAGGTATATTTTACTAGGTGGGAAAATGTTAACAGATTCTCGATATTAGTTCTCCAATTACGGACAAGACAAAATTAATTTTTTTGACAGATTATTGTAGTTCAATGTTATAATAATGTGTAATTTTATAAAGTCCGATCTGGATATATTATTTAAAGGTTGACATTTTAAGAGATATAGGAAAGTTAAACAAGTAAAAAAACAGCTGAGTTCGGCCAGGCCGAACTTTTAATACCCTCTTCAGTTTGTAAGGATTTTCAGGAGGTATATTTTACTAGGTGGGAAAATGTTAACAGATTCTCGATATTAGTTCTCCAATTACGGACAAGACAAAATTAATTTTTTTGACAGATTATTGTAGTTCAATGTTATAATAATGTGTAATTTTATAAAGTCCGATCTGGATATATTATTTAAAGGTTGACATTTTAAGAGATATAGGAAAGTTAAACAAGTAAAAAAACAGCTGAGTTCGGCCAGGCCGAACTTTTAATACCCTCCTCCGTTTGTAAGGAAAAGTACCGCTCAAATTAAACCGTTATATAAAGTACGATTCCGAACTTCAAATACGGAATTTGAAAAAATTCCGGTGAATAATGTCGCTTATATCAACAAAACACCGAATAAAGGGAGATACCGTTATATTTGGGGCTATACAAAGACGTGAATCTGCATACGAAATTTTTCTTTTCAAAGGCTGTAGTACCCATTACAAACTATGAATATGAAATTTAAAACAATTCGCGTTAATAATGTCCCTAAAATCATGAAAATACCGAATATCGGGAGGGATATCGTTATATCGGGATATCGTTATATGGAGGCTATACTAAAACGTAGACCTATGTAGACAATTCTTTTCCAGGAGTAAAGTACTCAGAAGGAACTTCTTTTCAGACAAGTGCATCGAAAAATGTGGCTAAATTCATCAAAATACTGAATATCGGGTATTACCGTTATATGAAGGATATACGATTCGTGATCTATATAGACAATTCTATTCAAGGGGGTAAAGTACTCACAAAGAAATCCCTGTGTTGAATTTCAGACAATTCCATTGAAAATGTGGAAAGATATATATATGAGCTATATGCAAAAATCTCCTAAGAAGCATCGTTTTAGAATAAGGATGTCAAAGACAAAAAATGTACCTCATCAAATTTCTCTATGAGTCACCAAAGAACAAGAAGCTTTACAAAAATCTATATATTAAAACCGAAAATATTTAATAATTGTTTTGATCCTGTCTAAAGGAAGTTTTCTACCATATTTTCAAAAGAAGGACCACAAAAACTTCTTTAATGATAAAGGTTAAAATGATCCTCATGTTTTTATCCGCAATATTGTCGAAGACACTACATACCTAAAATCATCAGATTCCAAAGAATTTTAATCCGAAATTTCAAAAACTTTAGAAGAGGGGTTACTTTAGGTTACTGTGTGCGATGTAAACTTTTAATCCGAGTCTTCTATTTTTAGCTCTACTTTGATAATCTAATTCTGGATTTTCCCTGTAATTATTTTTTATGTTACACAGTTAAATATTCCAAAAGTCTATCACTAAATATTTAAAAAATCCACAGAATCGAAACTCAGTCTTCAAAAATATTCTTCAAAGCTCATGGAATATAGCCTTAAAAATATCCTTCCTTGAACATCCACTATAAAGAGCTAGAAATAAATTTTGGAAAATCCTCTATTTATCCAATATTTATCCAATTTAATTAATTTATCCAATATAAATCTAAAAAAATACCCCTTAAATTCAATATAGTAGTAAAATTCAAATTGCCTTCTCCCCTCTTATTTTTTTGCAGGCCATTGCATGCTATACCCCCAAATTTTTATGGGATAAATTTGAGGGCGGTCTCATGCGTATGATTGTTATGGGCCTAAACATTACCATATGTCCGCGGGCCGAAAAAGAAGCCAAACGTGACGCTCTGCTGGATTATCTAACGAAACACGTGAAACGTCATAAGATGTACGCCATACGTTATTGGCTGTGTGAAGCCATGTGCCTGATCAATATCATTGTCCAAATGTATCTGATGAATCGTTTCTTTGATGGTGAATTTATGTCATACGGTACAAGGATAATGCAATTATCCGATGTGCCACAGGAGCAGCGAGTCGATCCCATGGTTTATATATTCCCTCGAGTTACCAAATGCATATTCCATAAATATGGTGCTTCTGGATCACTGCAGAAACATGATTCGCTGTGCATATTGCCGCTGAATATTGTCAACGAGAAGACCTATGTCTTCATATGGTTCTGGTATATGATTCTGTTGGCTTTGCTGATTGGTCTTATTGTTTTCCGGTAAGTGGGAAATGGAAAATAAATAATTGAAGTCGTTATTAAATGTTTTTTCTCCTCTTCCAGTGCCTTCATGTTATTGATGCCCAAATTCCGTCCACGTCTATTGCATGCCCGCAATCGTATGATCAGTTTGGAAACTTGCCGTATTTTATCACAGAAATTGGATATTGGCGATTGGTGGCTCATCTATATGTTGGGTCGCAATTTGGATCCCGCCATTTACAAGGAAGTCATGACTGAATTCTCTAAAGAAATTGATCCATCGAGATACAATAGGAACAAGTGATTTTATCTAAATGAAGCAACTGAAGAAAATAAACAGCAACAACAACAGCCTGCCCTTGATGTTATTTTTCCATCAGACCAGACAACGATGATATTAATTAAATGAGAATTTTTTTCTAACAAAAAAATATAGAAATTAACAAAAAAAAGAGACAACTTTATATAAAATGTAGTTCTGTGATTAACTAAAATGTCTTGTGGTTTTATAACATTATACAATTTTTTTAAAGATGTATTTTTTTACATCGTAGGAAAAGAGAAATGATTTTATACCCCCACCACCCCAAAAAATGCTACTTGTCTTTCCTCGAAATTGTAACTGAACTCGAATAGAAAACTTCCTTCCCTGCCCAAAACTACTAACTCTCTATTAGAAATACAAAAACAATACAGATAATTCAAATATTTTATTTAAAAAAAAAAATGATCACAACTCCATTAAAAATATATTATTCTTTATATATATTTTATTAGATATTAAGTTATAATAAAAACAATTAGTTCGTTTTTTTATAATATAAATGATGATAATACCAGAGAAGAAAATACAATTCAAATGTTCGTTTTGTTAAGTATAAAAAATGCTTGTGTTTTTTTTTTAATAATTTAATGAGTCTTTTTTTAATAAATTGCATTTTGTATAAATAATAACAAGGAAAACGTAAAAAAAGTTGCAAACAATAATATAAACAGGTTAATAAGGACAAGCATTTAAATAATAATAAACATATTTTTTGATAATAATGCAATTTATTTCCAAACAACTTTTTTTTATTAGTAAAAGTACAATTATAAGTTATTTTTACACAACAAAAACAATACAAATCAACGCGAAACAACAACAAGATTTTTAAATAAAAATTATAAACAAAAACGAATCAATTAGTGGTTTTTATAAAGCAATTAGCAAATTATTATTTAATTAATTTAAATTATGCAAATGACTAAAGAAGCCTATTAGCTAGACTTAATCTATATGTATGTATTCAGGATCAATGACCACCTTGTCAGTAGATAACGTGAGTTTTAGCTCAAGAGGTATACAAATATCGCTCATCTATTCAAAGAGAGTCACATCTAAAAAATATCAGTTTCGAAAAAAACACCATTTAAGTTATCGATTAAATTTTTTAAATTATTAATACACCAACAAGTTAAAATATATCAGTCGTTGTTGCCGTCAGATGTATTCCCTCAGCCAATATTCGATTTTTTTAAAATATATGTTGACTTCTGTTATGATTATTGAAATTGTTGACCCCCTATGCGGAAGGTTCCGAAGAAATGGGCCAATATTGTATTTTTCGTATCGGACCTAAATAAATATAATTTTATATTGTAATATATTGGTTACTTTCTTCACTGTATATGAAATACAGGGTGAGATGAAAAAACTGCAACCAACTTCAGACCGCTGTCACTTCTAAGCCACTCCTACGACAGATATTAAAATTATTCCAATGACAGCTTATTATATTGTTTACAAGCGTACAAAAGCATTTTGGTGAGAATTTTCCAGAAAAAAGTTATGCGTAATGGAATTCAAGCGTGATTTCTTTATATTTGACTGGAAAACCACAAGTGGCTATCGTTAGAGCACTCCAGCATTTAAATGTGAATAAATCTTTTGTGTCTCGCACCTTCGCTCGTTAACGTGGTACTGGTAGTGTAGCCCGACGTCAAGGAAGTGCACGTAACAAAACAGCAACATCAGCAGAAATGGTTCGAAAAGTTAAGATGCGACTTGATCGAAACCCGCGTCGCAGTGGCCAAAAAATGGTTCGTGAGCTAAAGCCATTGAAATTTCAAAAAGTGCAAGAACTTACACCGCAACAAAAAGAAAATAGACTCAAAAGAGATAGGGACTCTAAAGAGATGCTTCGCTAGGCCGAAAGTGGTGAACTGCTGAATTTAATTTTCTCCGATTAGAAAACATTCGTTGTCCAGCAGCTTGTAAACAAACAAAATGATCGTGTTTACTTGCCAAAGAGGTCAGCTGAAAATGTTCACCTTCGGTTGACCACCAGAACTCAAGCGCAGGCCATGGTGATGGTGTGGGCCACCATAACAGCCTATGGTGGCTCTCCGCTCGTATTAATCGACCGTGGCATCAGAATAAATGCCGAATATTATCGCGAAAATATTCTGGAGGGTGTATTAAAGCCTTGGACACGAAAACATTTTGGCCGCAAACCTTGGACATTCCAACAGGACTCAGCACCATCACACTCAGCACGCGCCACCCAAGAATGGTTACAAAATGAGGTTCCTCCCTACATTTCCAGCGCACAATGGCCACCAAAATCTCCGGATACCAACGCGTTGGACTATTGTGTCTGGAGTATTTTGGGAAGTAAGGTTGGCATTAAAAAATATCAAAGTGTCGATTAAGCGCTTCGCCGGGAATACCGGGAAATACCGCAGAGCAACATTCTGTCAGCGTGTGACGGTTTCATTGTCCGTTTGAAGGCCATTATTTGTGCCAAAGGTGAGCAATTCGAACAATTCGGCCATTTGAAAATAATAGAGTGTAAGGATTTCTTTTTTTGCTGAGAAACTATAAAATACATACCGATCTCAGATTATGTGCGTTAAGAGATGTCGTTCGTGTAGGGTCTTAACCAGTGCTGTAAAATATGATGTTATTTATACTCTTTAGTTCAGCCTTAAAATATGCTTTGCTTTTCGTCTAAATTGACATTAAGTGCTATACTCTGTTGCCACATTAGGGTGGTGTTTATTTTACTCAGGCCATAGTAAGGTGCAGGTAATCAACTTCATTACCTAATAAAATAATCCGTTCAAATTTCGATATAACCTGTTTTTGTTGCAACTAAGTCTGAAATAATTTCAATTTTTTCTCTATTTTTCAAGACTATACATAAACTTATAATAAGTGTGTATATGTTTTGATTAAATAGGGACACCAACTTTATTCTATATCCACGGGCTTTATTCTACTTACCGTGGATATAGCTTCCATATAACATGCGATTCTTTACTAAATTAAAAGTGTATTTTTACATCACTAAAAAATAAATGGGAATCAAATGCGGAAATATATTGAAATAAACGAAAATATTTCTCAAAATAAATGATTAAGAACTTTGTGGCCTTTTTTGTGATTTCTTGATATCATAGAGGAAGTTGTCGTAGAAAAAAAGTATCGCATTCTAACAGTTTTGGAACAAAGCATAAAATTTTGCCTATAAATTGCTATTTTTAAAAATTTCCTGATTTTTTTTGTCATAATTCCGCGGTTATAGCATTCATTATATAAAGGTAAAATATTCATTGGTATATCAATATGTAAATAGTTTCTTAGACACTTGCCTGCCTATATTTAGCTCACCCGAAGATGTTAGCAAATTTCTATCCCTGTCGTCCTCACTACTTCTGGTGTCACTGAATTGGAATTGTTAGAAACCAATTTTGACATCCAGCACTGAAAATATTATATTTATGGCTTATTCACATCACTTCATAAATATGAGTATTTGTCATTAACTGAAAATGACCTTCACAAGCGTTCCCCAGTTTTTAAGTTGTTTCCTTTAAGTAATTGCATTTACCAGTACTTGTTGATTGTTATATTTATTTTGGGATATACATAAGTAATAGGAGAGTAAGATAAAATGACAAACATTATCTTAAAGATAAGCTATTGGTTTAAATATACACAATGACAAAAGATATTTTCAGTTGTTTTCGTTCTCTTCCTTATTCTCCAAGAAAAATAAGCTAAAGCTTCTTACTAATCATAAAAGTCATACAAAGGAATATTTTTTTTAAAAAAATTTCCTTACATTGTTTTTGCTGTTGTATTATACATTGAAGACGAAGAAGAAAAAATATCGAAAACAAATTATATTATTATAATAATAATAAAATATAACAAATATTAACAAAGATACACAAAAAAATTGTTATACTTAAATATGTTTTGTTGTTTGTTTGTTTTTCTAATACATTATCACATAATTTGTTAATTTATTTTTCATGAAAACAATATCCCATCATGCGTACCCCAAAGTACCCACATATTATTTATGTGGGTTGAATTGTTTTTGTTGCTTGCGCTAATGCCTTTAGTAGATAGGTGAATCATAGTTTTGTCTTAATAATACTTCTACATATGTACATACTTTTGTTTTGTAATCTATTTTTTAAGAGATATTGTGACGATGATATGACAGAAATCTAATGTGGCCCCTGTTTTACGTTTCAATAGATTACTTTCCCAAGGGAACGAAGTTTAGAAATTGGAGCCTTCGATTGAAAATATTTGTTTCCGAGAGACACACAACTGGAAATTAAAATTTGCAATGTATAAATTCAATAGGTCACCTTAGTTTTGGGGCTCATTGAAAATGAAGTTATTCGACAAATATTTTATGGGACAATGGCTTTTGGTCTAGAAAGTATTCTAGGCTAAAGTCTAGTTTAGGGTACCCTCGAGGATCACTCTAACAAGAAACTGCTTAAAAAAAATTCAATTTTTTCTAGATCTGCTGGAATTATGACCTTAAAACTTCTGAAAGTACACTTGCATACTTCTCATTGTTTTAAAGCTCGACGAATAACATTTAGTGAATCCCTTGAGGTCCTAATTCAATCGAAATTAATATTTTGAGGAAGTCACCTTTCCGAAATATAAGACATCAGTCATCTAGGCAATATCTTTATAGGTCTTAAAAACTATAAGACAGTATAAATAGGTTCGTACCTCGGGAATTGTGGACTTTTTATCATGGCCCTGGAATAACTTTTGATACCCTTGTCCATGACCCTGGGACTTCTTTTGATAACATTTTCCAACTAATTATCGAGGGGTTCTTACACCATTAAATCAAAGCACTCTCTCTAAATACTCAATAACGTTTCTTAAATCCTTTTTTGGGCTGCAGATGTTTCACTTGAAAGATTTCTGAAAATATTTAAAACAATTATTCCATTAATGCACAAATTACAAAACCTATTCTAACATTCATTGGCACCTCGAACTATGATTCAATCCTTTCCGCAGTTTATCCCTTTCCAACGTCATTGCTTCCACTCATCGGTCACATTATGGAATATTGTTCTTTTGGTTTATACTTAAGATTAAAAATTACTTTTTAGTTGTTAGATTAGCAGCATCGGCGGCAGCGGTGTGGGCATTCAACCACAGCACGAACGACTACCATCAGGCACTTGTGAACTCATACCATCGTCCATGCCGTCCTGTGAATCTTCAACTATTAAACGTCTTTGGCCGAATTGTTGTTGGGCACTGGCCCTTTGCTTTTGATTGTTCTGCTGGGCATGTTGTACCATAAGTCTTGTCAATTCCATAAACAGTTCATCTATGTTTTCATTGGTTTTTGCTGATGTCTCGAAGTAGTGGGCACCCACACTTTCCGCATAGGCCACCGCATCGTCCTCCTGTACGGTTCGCTGCTCTTCCAAATCGATTTTATTGCCAGCAATAGTTAAGATAATCTCCGAACCCAACATACGTTTCAATTCCTTTACCCAATTTTTCACCTTCTGGAATGAATCTTGATCGGTGATGTCATACACCAAGATAGCACCATGCGAACCACGATAGTAGATGGGACCCAGTGCGTGAAATCGCTCCTGTCCAGCTGTGTCCCATATATTCAATTGCACTTTATTGCCATTGTCAAGGTTAACTTTTTTCGTTAGAAATGAGGCCTGTAAAGTGCTAATGTGTTGCGGATTGAATTTGTCTTCGACATAGCGCAAAACAATCGATGTTTTGCCAACGCACCCTTCGCCGAGCAGTACCACCTTAAAATTATATTGCGTTGGTTGAGGGGGATTATTGGTCGTCGTCATTGTTGGTGTTTGTTGAACCCGGAATGGGGGGAATTGCAGTTGCGACGACTTTTTTCTATTCGTTGTCTAGTTTTTTATGGATACCATGGAGGTTTTGTTCATAGCTTCGTATACTATATTCAAGTGTCTTAATTTTTTATTTGGTGTTATTTATTGTTATACTATATAAACGTTATTGTTGTGTTCTTGTTTGCTACTTTTTGTGAAAAACTCCGACACTCTCGATTAAATGCAAGTGAAAATGTCAACAAATAAGACCAGTGTAAAATTTAGCAATGTTGCTAATTATCGACATGATGATTTCTTGAAAGTAACAGGGTGACATAGAACAACCAAAATTCGCCTGAAAACAGTAGATGTCAATATAACGCGTTCTTCTTTATGCCCTCCACCATTATACGGAGGGTATATTAACGTTGTTTGTAACTCCTCGAAATACGCATGTTAGACTCTACAAACTACATATATTCTGGATCAGCGTAAATTTTATGTTGAATTAGCGATGTCCGTCTGTCTGTTGTAAACATACTATTTTTGGTACGAATTGAGACGGAAGGCTTAAATTTTGCAGTATTAAGACATTATTCACTGAAATTTTTTCAAATTTCGTATTTAAAGATCTTAATGGCTACTACTGCCTATGACAAAAAATTACTTTTGCAAGTTCACGACTTCGAATGGCGTCCATATAACGGTTTTATTAAAAAAAATTCTCTCCAAAAATACCGCTTTTTTGGATGTTTTGTTTTTTTATATTATTTTTTTTAAATATTTAAGAAAATTGCATATCATACCAACCTTACCAGTACGTTTATATGTAAATGGATTAGATTTGGATTAAAATTGTCATATCCATTACTTATACTTCAAATAAATCCTCTTAAAGAAGGTTAACCCATGGTACAATAAAAAGGTAAGGTAGAGCTTTCAGCTGTTTACAATTTTTTTCTAAGTGTGCCCAACTTCTGCCAATTTTGTGTATGTATTTATTGTTTTGAAAATGAAAAATAATTTTTTCAAAACCAATGATTGGAAGACATGTACATTGCGGCTCGCGTATTAAGTTATTAACCAGCTAAGCCATGAAATTGAAAGATTGAACAGTTTGGATCATGTTTTTGAGAGAAAATCCGGTCATTTCATTCATTGTTCGCGCTATTTGACTCATTAAAATATGAGGGAAAGTATGAAACAATGAAAATATAAAATTTTGAATGAGTTTGACAGAAAGTGGGGATAGCCTCAGGGCTGTATTTCTGTAGTTTTACGAAACTGTTCTACCTCCTTATTGTACCATGGGTTAACCATTCAAAAACTTCTAACATAAAAATGGCATCAGGTCGGGATAATATAAGAAAATATTAAAAATACATTTGGTTTTGCAGAAATATTTAAATTTTTTTTGACAATATTTGCAAGCATGTATTCTTATTCTATGGTGTCTACCTACACTTTTAAAAGGATCTAACTGACACAATTAATTTGGTCTGTTTCAGAGCTGCAAGAAATTAAAAATATTACTACGATAACCGATTTTCTCTTTATGATATCGAAGAAAATGTCAAAACTATTAGATTCCTGTAGGTTCGGGAACATACCATGTATAAACATTTTTAGAGTATTTTGAGTTGCAAGTTTGAATAAAAAAAAACAATTCCACTTGCAAATTCAAAAGTGATTTCAAACCGAAAAAAATGTAATTAGTTTGGAATACATTCCTGTGACATGCCTCTATGTGTGAATTTTAGTTGTTATGTGTCGCCCTGTTATTGAAACGGAACTCATGGCAATGTTGCCATATTCCCGTTAGTGGGGACTCACAAATGGAATGGTAATCCAATTATCGATATTTTCTTATAAGAAAATCGAAACTGTTTTGTTTGAAAGCCTAAAAGTATGCAACAATTAATGAAGGTTATGGAAAATAGTTACGAATATGATCCAAACTATAACAATTTATAGCATATTTAAGTTATTGGAAAATTTGTTTTCTTTCACTAATATACACACGCTTTTATTTCCCCTTGTAGTTATACCCTACACTACATAGTGCTAAGTTAGTATAGAGAAGGAAGCGAGATAGACCCTTAGTTACTTTTGAGAATTTTCAGAGAATCACTTTCTGAATCGATTTATGCTCGTCAGTTCCGATTTGGATATAGCTACTATATATATCTTCATCCGATTTTACGACATAAGATTTGTAACATTCCTAAATATTCGTCGTAGACCCCATAAAGTATATATATTCATAATCAGCATAAAATTGTAAGTCCATCTGTCTGTCAATGACACAATCTAGGATGATTGGTATTGAAAATGAGATATATCGTTCCACGTTTTGTTATAGGTCCCATATAACGGTACATCCGTATATTCGGTATTTTGGTGATTTTTGTCACATTTTTTTCGCGGATTTGTCTGAAAATTAGTATTCGTAGGTCATAATGGGTCCTAGTTCGTGTGGCGAAACATAGTAAGTATAGGTCTACGTTTTGGTATAGCTCCCTTATAACGGTACCTCCCGATATTCGGTATTTTGATGCTTTTTATCACACTTTTTCACGAATTTTTCTAAAAATTGGTCATATGGGTTCTAGCTTCGGCGGCGAAACATTGTATGTTTACTTGTTTTATATCGCCGATAGTATTCATAAAGTTTTTATTAGATTTAATATGAATATTAATAAGAAAAACCCCAATGAATATAATTTGGAAGACATTCGAAAAAATGCTCGAGAATTTTCTGGAATTATTTGTCAAAATTGAAATATTTTGATAATAATAATTGATAATTTTTGTTCATAACATACCTTTTTTTAAACATTTTTCACCGAAAACATTTTAATCAAGTCTGTAAAATCCCACCCAATTAAAAAAGACATTCAATTCGAATTACAACAATTTGCTAAGTACATGTCGATTATTTTTCCTATTCTCCTTTAATGGCAATGAACGGTAAGTAAATAATCAAAGGTAACGAGCGTTAATAGTAAAAACAATCTTAAAATAAAATACTAAGAAATTGTGGCCAGTCTTCCTAGGGGACGGACGGATATGGGGTCGCCACGCCACATTTCGTCGACAGTGGTGTCAACATGCCCATGGATGGGTGCCTTCAGACATAAATCAATGTAAATACATGTGTCCACATGTGTGAGAGCTAACAAGTTGACCGGTGTGTAGAACGTGACACAAATTGTTCGAAATCGTATATTTGACCTTCTGAGCTTTTTGCATTGCTTTGGTATGAACGTTCATGTGTGAGTATGTGCGGAAGTGTAGTTGTAGATGTGGTTGGGCATTTCTTTTTTTGTGGTAGGGGTGTTTTGTTTTTCTTTTGTAGAGAGTATTATAATTTAGCTCAAAGACGACCTACAAAGTTCAATATACTGTAAAAATTTGCTGAGATTTTGGATTTGTTCCAAAATTGGGCTATAAACTTATATAATTATGACGATCTATTGATTGATTCTGGAGTATTCTCCAGATTGAAAAACGGTATACTGTGGATAAAAAAGAGAGATGGTATTAATTAGTAGCAAAATTTGTTTAAGTGTATTTATGCACAAATACATAGATGTTATTGCTATTTTCTTATGTGTATGTGTTTATACTATCATTAATGACTAACCTCAATCAAGACATGGCACAAATCAACAATTGTTGATAGAAAGTTTATTGTCCTTCTTTATCGTCCACATTTATACGATATACTTGCCATGACTTCGTTGTCAGTCAATATCAAATCATATTTTCTTATTTACCTTGGCCATTATTGACAGCTAAGGGACGGCTAACAGAACGCAAAAAAAAACAAAGAAAAAATCATTAAAACCATTGTTAATAATTATGTTTTCTTTTTTCATTATCACTTGGTTTGCTTTGCTTTGAATTCGTTTGTTATTTCTTTTCGCACTGACCAAGGATTTAAAAAAATGGAAGTGTAGGCGACTTCTGTAGACACTTACATGCATCTGTTAAGATATAGTATTATTTTAAGGAATATTTAATTATTATTGAAGATTATGAAAATAAAAAATATTATTGTTATTATTATTATATTATTTTATTATTATTATTTTTATTTTAATTATTATTTTTGATAATATTATTATTCTTATTATTATTATTATTATTATTATTATTTTTATTATTATTATTATTATTATTATTATTATTATTATTATTATTATTATTATTATTATTATTATTATTATTATTATTATTATTATTATTATTATTATTATTATTATTATTATTATTATTATTATTATTATTATTATTATTATTAATAGCGAAATAACTGGCTTAATGTCTAACCTAGAATCAATGCCCAGAGGATGATGTTATTTGCTACAATTCCACGAAAAATTAGCTAGAATTCTTAAATTTGAAGTGAGAGTCACTGATGGAGGAGGACAGATGTATCAATGGGTTTTTGGATATTCAAACTTTAAGGTTACGAAAAATTCTAAAATGGTACGAAATTTCTAAAATGGTAACATTTGGTATTATATGAACGAATAGAGCTAAAAAATTTGGTATGAAAATCAAGGTTGGAAAGTAAGTCGGATATATGAAGGTGGTTTTAGAAATGGGTACTAAGTGTGCGAACTCTACTTAATGGTACTAAATTTAGAACAGTTTGATTTAGGGGAAACGGCTGAAGGTGGATTTTTGCAATTTTGTATTGCTGTTCCTGTTGGTGGCAAATTGTAAATTGTTGGTGTAAATTGTACGAAAAGTACTGAATGCTACTAAATTTGGTATTGGGTGAAAGGGATAGAAAAAAATTTAAATTTGATATTTAGACTATTTAAAGTATTTGTGATTCAGATTTGGCATTGGTTTGGAAATGTGACATTTATTTGTAAGAAATGTACTGGATTGTACTGAATTTGGCATTGGGTGAGGAGATAGAATTTAAATTCCGAAATTTGATACTGAGGTCTCTGTAGGTATCTGAAATTGAGATATGGATGTGGATTTGGAAATGTGCGCTATAATTGTACGAAAAGTTCTAAACATTACAAAATTCGGTTTTGGTTGAGGGAATGGAGCTGAAATCCTTAAATTTGATTTTGAAGTCTTTGTTGATATCTGAATAGGAGGTATGGAGTTGACTTTGGAAATGTATACTTTAGTTGTACGAAAAGTAATAAATAGTACTTAATTTGGTATTGGGTGAAGGGATTAAGCTGAAATCTTCAAATTTGATATTGAGGTCTCAGTTGATACCTATAATTGAGATATGGAAGTGGTTTTGC